GGAAGGAAGGCAGCAAATGTTGTACATGCTGGTTACAGTGCATTTCTCTCTGAAATTCTGAGGAAAAAGGGTCATTCCAGACATTGTTCAGAAGAACAGCGTACCTTGATTAAGAAGTTGATTGGAGAGGGGAAAAACATATAAAGAAGTGCAGAAAATGATAGGCTGCTCAGCTAAAATGATCGCAAATGCTTTACAATGGCAACCAAAACCTAAAAGAAGTGGAAGAAAGTGAAAAAAACTACCATTCGAATGGATAGAAGAATAGCCCAAAATGGCAAGGACTCAGCCAACAATCAGCTCCAGGAAGATCAAAGGTGGTCTAAAGTTACCTGTGAGTACTGTTACAATTTAGAAGACAGCACATTGACTGGCCTAAAGAGCAATGGAGCAACATTTTGTGGACTGATGAAAATAAAATTGTTCTTTTTGGGTCTAGTGGCCGGAGACAGTTTGTCAGACGACCCCCAAACACTGAATTCAAGCCACAGTACACTGTGAAGACAGTGAAGCATGGTTGCGCAAGCATCATGATATGGGGATGTTTCTCATACTACGGTGTTGGGCATATTTATCGCATAGCAGGGATCATAGATCAGTTTGAATACATCAGAATACTTGAAGAGGTCATGCTGCCTTATGCTGAAGAGGAAATGCCCTTGAAATGGGTGTTCCAACAAGACAACGACCCCAAACACACCAGTAAACGTGCAACATCTTGGTTCCAGACCAACAAGATTGACGTTATGGAGTGGCCAGCCAATCCCCGGACTTAATCCAATAGAAAACTTGTGGGGTGACATCAAAAATGCAGTTTCTGAGGCAAAACCAAGAAATAGAGAAGAACTGTGGAATGTAGTCCAATCATCCTGGGCTGGAATACCTGTTCACAGGTGCCAGAAGTTGGTTGACTCCATGCAACACAGATGTACAGCAGTTCTCAGAAACAGTGCTTATACAGCTAAATATTAATTAAGTGATTTGAAGGAAAGCAAAATCTTCAAACATTTTTCAGTTTATATAGTGAATGTTTGAGTTTGTTAATTAGAATACAAACACTGCTATTTTTTTGAACAGTCTAATATTCACTTTTCTTCAATTTGTTTTAGAGGAACAACACAAATTTGATATATTTTTCTTCATGTTTTGATTTGGAATAGAATGTGTAGTGTTCCCAATGCATTTGTGTGTATAGAAATAAAAGCTATTAGAAGGATTTTGAGCTTTATTCACTTTTTTCAACACACTGCTATTATTTTGAACACAACTGTATTTCCTGGTATCATTTTCAACCCCAAGATATCACCCAACAGCATTACATATCTTGATGTGAGGATCACTTATAACCAGGGTACACTCCAGACATCTGTGTTCTCAAAACCAACAGACAGGAACACCCTACTACATTACCAGAGCACACATCCCAAGCATCTCCGTGATAGCCTGCCTATTTCACAGTTAAAGAGGGTGTTACGCATTTGCTCCTGTATGAATGACAGGATAGAACAACTTGAGGCCATGTATATAAAATTTGTGGAACGAGGTTATCCTACTCGAGTACTTGACCAGCCATTAGCCAGAGCTACAGCAGATTTTGAAGGCAACCCTAGGGCGGCCAACAGACTGCTATTCATACACGGCTTCAATCAGGCATCTGAGCGTATTAAACAAGCGGTCATGCATAACATGAACATCCTTCGAGCTGATGACATTATCACCCGACTTTAATGGTACATACAGTATACACACACACACACTACTGCAGTTTGATTTTACAATTTGCAGAAATGGTAAGAGTTGCATAATTTCTGCATATTGTCTGACATTGTTTTCATAAATCACCATCAGTGAAACTGTTATATGAAGTCTCAGCACTTCACTTGCAGGCTCTGTATTCTTCCACCAAGAAAGAAGCAATTCAGTTCTTTAAAACCAGCTCCTTCCGGCTCATCTACTAATTCTTCCCCTTTTTGGAGTGACTGATTATACAGTTTTCACCAGTACAGCAGCCTGTGTACCAGCAATGGCTCGCACTTCATACTTTGCTCTACTGCTCATGTTACATCTTGTTTTCTCCAAACTTGCTGAAATGCCAGAAGACCCTGTGTGCACGGAGGTAACAGTTTTGTTTTCTTTCTCAGATATGGTACAGTATAGTCCACCTGCACACGCTTTACATATTTCTGAAATTTCTGAAATTTGTGGGAAGAATAGCACAGTATGTGTATAGTCATCTCTGATAATTTAGTAAGTGAACAATTGTACCACAGATTCCTTTTTCTGAATGCTGAATTTGATCGTTGAACCACACTGAACTTTTGTTAACACTTCTAAGATGCCTAATGTCATAATTAAATGTCCGCTATAGCTGAAATGTTTTATTCTGATAACTATATGTAGCTAATGTCTGTGTAAATAGTATCTTTTATTAGATTTTTCTTTTTCACAAGCCTTTTTTCTGTTATAATTTTGTCCAAATTTGCAGACTAAGTTGTATAGCAAAAGTGATAGTTGGGACAATCCAAAAAAACACTGCTGGTGGTGCTTAAATGTGTATTGCTATTCCTGTAGGAGCCGCAGAAATACTGTCCAGGTCTTCCCCAAAAGCTTTGCCCCGCAGTCAGGCATATAGACTCATTCATGTTTTTCAATGACCATTCTAGGGGTGTTGTTTTTATTTTTGGAGAACTTGGATAGGGATGGGGAATTAGGTGGGATACTCCAAAAACTATGTACAGTTGAGGACTGTAAGTATTCTTTTGGATAAGCTATGACGAAGTCTGTGCTTGAAACAAACAGACTTCAGCTTTAAGGCAGCAACAGTAGCAAAGTAGAGCAGAGTCCTTTTATGTAGGAAATTAAGTGGACAAAGCTCTTTGAAACACCAGCTGGTGTCCCCTTTAGCTAGACCCGCAGCTGACTCTCTAGCACTAGGAGGGGGTTAGGTAGCAGACAGTCTCTAAGATCCTTTAGAGGTGTCTGTACTCACAAGGCCCAAGAGCCGATAGTCGCCTTCCTCCATCATAAAAGACCAGATCAGCTATGAGGAAAGATTAGAGGAACTGAATTTATTCTCTCTTGAGAAGAGATTAAGGGGGGATATGATCAACATGTATAAATACATCAGTGGTTCATATAGTGAACTCGGTGTAGAGCTATTCACCCTGAGGTCATCACAGAGTACAAGGGGGCACTCTTTATGTCTGGAGGAAAAGAAATGTAATCTCCAAACACAGAAAGGTTTCTTCACAGTGAGAGCTCTGAAAATATAGAATAGACTCCCTCAAGAGGAGGTTCTGGCCAGCTCAGTGGATTGCTTCAAAAAAGGCCTGGATTGTTAGATACACAGAATATAACTGGATTCTAACATTTATAGGTAAAGTTGATCCAGAGAATATCTGATTGCCTCTCGGGGGATCAAGAAGGAATTTTTTCCCAGCAGGAGCAAATTGGATCACACTTTGCTAGGTTTTTTTTTTTGCCTTCCTCTGGATCAACTGTGGGTATAGGATTATAACTTTTTTTTTTTATTATGGTTGAACTGGATGGATTTTTTTTTTTTTTTTTTCAGCCACACTAACTATGTAACTATGTAATCTTCAGTAGACAACCCCTCAGTCAGCTTTAGTAAAACTCGGGTTTCAGCATTCAGGCCCTCAGGTTGCCCACCTGTGGCCTGTGGCAATAGACCCCGCAGCATTGCCTGGGAGGGCAGCATGTCCCCTCCAGGTTGGAATAATCTTATATAGGAATGACCCAAAACTCAGTGCGCTCAATGAATATATACAGTTAGCCAGCATGCTTTCAGAGTCTCTCTGTCTGGGATAGGCCAGGGCTGTATCAACATTCACGCTGCCTTCCGCATACATCCACATCTATTATCCAGAAGCTTATCAAGCTTCCTGGATGCAGAGGAAGCTCACAGTCTGGCTGCATCTGATCACAGTGAACAGACCTAACTAGCAGAACACAGCAGCACTGATTAATGTGCAAGTTATGCTTTTTCCTTACAGAAATTACACCCAAACTGTCTACAGTGTGACAACTAAATGTATTTATAAAAATACAAACTAAATCTATCTATCTATCTATCTAAACCTTGCACCTACCAAGGAGGGTGCTACAAATGGTAAATGTTTTTGTCTTGTACTTAAAGTCCTTTTAAAATGACATGGCCATTGAAGACCATGCTGTCAATAGGGTAACACAGTTACTGCATGATTTTGCTACAGAATGAGCACAGTTGTCACACTGTTAAAAGAAGTGCAAAAAAATATTTACTGGCAACACGTAATAAAACAATATAATAGTTGGGGCAGTGTATAGTGCAGTAACCCAGAGAAACCAATCAGACATAATATTTAACTAATCTGGCACAAATGTAGAAACTAGTTGCTGCGCCCACGTGTTATCTTTTTATACGAATGTGCGGCACATTCCTTTGTATAAAAAATATTAATACAAACTGACCTTAAGAGAAGATTTTTGTTTGTGGGTCTATTTATAAAGGTAAACATTTTTCTTTTAACTTTTTTATAGGGGTCTATCACATCCACCAGTTTTCCCTGTCCATGGACTAACCCTGGGCAGAATTCTTTATTCATTTTGCCACGTTCCAACTAATATGAAAATAATTCAAAAATATATTTTGTTGGGCATTTTACCTTTTTTGGCCCCATTAAGTAGCTGGGATCTGTTGTTTTTCATGGAGAGAAAATAAAGGATGATATTTTGTCAAGGTGGTATATTTTTGTTTTACCAAGCCTGTGTTTTATTCTTTTTTTCAATTATTTTTAGTTTCAATGCAATATTACCGTTTTTTTATTCAGACTACAGAAAATTTTAGAAATAAAAAGTGTGGTATGATGAAAACAAAAGCAAATATTAACTAATCTTTATAAACAGACTCCTATGTTGAAGTATTTCCAAAGCTAATGAAGAATGAAACCAAAAGACAGCGCCAATAAACAGCTGAGGCGGTGTGTGTTGATTTACAGGTGATTGCGGGTAAGAACTATGATTGTGAAGGGTTGGGACTACAAAAACCTCCTGACAGCCTCCCGGACTCTACAGAGATTCTGGATTTCAGCTTTAACTCTATGTTTGCCATCTACCATTTCACCTTTAGCCGACTGGAAAAACTGGAGTATTTGGATTTAGCAAGGTATTACTTTATATGTAAATGTTTAGCCAAAAAAAAAGTAATTTTTCTCTGCATACTTTTTGTGTCTAGTTAATAAAAGGGCTAGGTTCAGATCTATATGGGTGTGGGACTGTGTGTAAATCGCATGCTTTCCCGCACCCATAACAAAACATGCTGCTGTTAGCAAATGTGTGGGGGTGCTATTAATTCTTAACACCCACATCCCAACCCCCAGGCAGGGAAACCTACATAGTGTGAACCTAGACTTAATCACATTGTTTTGGCAGACTTGTAAAACAAAATGGGATTAAGGCCCCTTTCACATGGGGCAGAATCTATCCACTGATCCCCACCAACTAGTGTCCGCTCCACTTATGCGGAGCAGACACAGCCCGCTGTCCTCTACAGGCATTCAGGTGTAAAATGTGTCCGTTTACACCCAACTGTCTTCTGATCCCCATCCATCTATTTTTAGGATCGGATTGGGTGTAGGTAGGTGTAAATGGACACATGTCCATTTACATCCCCAGCTCCATAAAGGATAATGGAAGGCGCGATCAGGTCCACCTAAAAATCTGACAGGTGGACCATATCGGTCTGCCCACATGAAAGGGGTTTAATGTGTGAGAACCGTACTTGACTTAGATTGTCTGATTGGTTGTAGCAGCCAGAAAACAGGATTTATTTTTTGTTTGCGTTATATGTATTATTATTACATTTGCATTATCTATAGGTAGCAGAAAATATAGAATAAGCAACCCAAAATAATGTTGAGAGCCAGTTTGGGTTGCCACTGTAATTGGGCTTGGATTCCTTCCCAAAGTTTTCTCATGTTATATCTTGTTTTGTCAACTTGACTATTTGAAATAAAAAAAAAAAAAAACATCTGAGCAGATCTTTCAAGAAAAAAATAGGATTCAAACCTGGGATGTAAAATTTAAGGAAGCTGATGGAAAAAGAGAGGACAGTCCTCTTTTACAAACACTGGAGTGTTAGTGGGAGGTTGCACAATAGAGTTACAAAAGGCTGCAATGTCATGTACAGAATCATTGTGAAAAGCCGCACATATCTGACTAAAGCCAAGCTACAACACTTCCTTAAAAGCACATTAGCATTTCCAAATTGATTTTTTTTTTTACTTGTCATCTAGAGTTGCTCCTTCCATTAAGTAGAGTAGAACTCCAGTCATTTTTTAACATGTTCCTGACAAGCATACAGAAATTTGCAGCTGCTAGGCAGGTGGGCTTTAACTCTGAGTGGCTATGATTTATATGCATGGGGAGAAGTTTTACTGTGCAGAGAGAATGTTCACTGCTTGCTTCCAGCATAGTAATTAAACGTCAAAGGAAGCTCCCAATGCATACTTGTGATTGGGAACTTCTGATCATGTGACCGCTGTGAGAGCGAATTACAGTGGTCACATGATCGAAATGCTCACATCTGCCTTCCAGCATGTAGATCCTATTAAAAAGAGTCGGGGCAGCAGCGTAAAGGGGGTAATGTAATATAAATAATAGTTACCTCCCGAGATATATGCCATAACCAGATTACTAGATCTGTCCTTTCATATTGTTATTTATACCAGACTGTACTTTTGGCTACTACATTATGAGAGGAACAGATCTTATACAGGGAAGAGATACTGTCATTTGTCAATGCTGTGGCCATGAAGCAAAGCATCCAGCTGTTATTTTTATAGTTCAGATGGGTGTCTCGGGGGGGCAGCCCATTTTTATGGCAGCCACCCCCGCCCCAACCAACCAACCATTTGAAAGAGGGTTTAAATAGTAACTAAAATGTCACTATAATATCTGTCTGGAGTTCAGCGTTTAAAAATGGTTTTTATATTCCAACTACGGCACCAGCTGCCTGGAGTTTGCATGTTCTCCCTGTGCCTGCGTGGGTTTCCTCCGGGTACTTTGATTTCCTCCCACACTCCAAAGACATGCTGGTAGGTTAGTTGGATCCTGTCTAAATTGTCCCTAGTATGTGTATGTATGAATGTAAGTTAGGGACCTTACATCCCGTGAGGGGACTAGGCGCTGCATAAACTGACGGCGCTATACAAGTACCATAAATAAAATAAATATATATATTGATTGTTATTGTTCTTAGCAAACATACTTGAAAAATCAAAAAAAAGTCTCACACAATCTGTTTCCATTTTTTTCCCCCCCAGAAGCGGTATTGCTTGGATATATGATGATGCCTTCAGTAACAATACAAGGCTAAATACAGTTATACTCACTGGAAACGGTATATTGTACATAGCTGAAAGAGCATTCTTAGGTGCAACATCACTTCAACACCTCTACTTACAGAAAACATTTATATCGGACTTGTGGCTTATACCAATGAAAAGTTTGTCTAATCTGGAAACTTTGCATTTGGGGAGCAATTTTATCACCTCTATACAACTTCCTGATGACACCCCTGTGACCAAATTGAAGATTTTAAACTTTGAGTTAAATCATATCAGTAGAATATCAGTGGAGGACTCAGACATTTTCAAGCACATCAACAATTTGACCCTCATTTTAAAGGGAAATAATATTGAGCACATTGAACCAAACTCTTTCAATTCAAGTAACTTACATTGCTTGGATTTGACTGCCTCAGCCTGGAACGTCGATTTGTCTTCTGTTTTAAAAGGATTAAATGGCTTAAGAGCTGACAGTCTAAAAATTGGTACCTTTAATGACATAGATGTTGACAAGGATGTATCCCCATTGGATATGAATTTTCTTTGTGATTTATCAATGAAGGAGCTCAGTCTTCAATATCGAACTTTTTCTGATGAACATAACACATTTCCATGTTTGGCCAAGACTGAAAAACTGGATCTCACCTTTACAGATTTACATAGCTTTCCAGGGCTTGGCAAAGACAACACATTAAAGGAACTGCTATTAAACCTTAACAAGTTTTCCTCGCTTTGCGGTATAAGTTCAGAAACATACCCACTGATCACTCACCTTCATATAGCTAGAAACAGGCAGACATTAGATTTGGGAGATGGTTGCTTAAAAAGTCTAACCAGCCTTGTGTATTTGGACCTGAGTCAGAATATTTTTATGCATCAATCATGTTGTAGCACTCACTTCAGGGGACTAGACAGCCTCAAATTTTTGAATATGAGTTATGGAAACCAATTTACATTACAAAGCCCAGCCTTACCAGAAACCAACAGGATAGAGGTTCTAGACTTCTCATATAGTTATTTATCGATTGATAAAGCCTTCAGTCCTTTTAGTAATTTAGTGGATTTAAAAGTCCTCAACTTGTCTAACAGTTATATAGATGCTAGCAACAGACAACTGTTTAAAGGTCTTCAGAACCTTGTTTTCCTAAACATGGAGAAAAGTATGTTCCAAAATGGTGTTCTAGCAGATAACAACTTGTTCGCCAACACTTTAAAACTTGAAACTCTCATATTAGCTAAATGCAAGCTAAGGGAAATTGAGGGTCAGGCATTCAAAAAACTGAAGCAACTCAATCACATTGACCTAAGTGACAATAATCTGACTGTCTTTAGTACAAACCTGTTTGTGAATTTGACATTTATGTCCCTCAATTATGCTTTTAACTTGATCACAACCATACCTATTGATTTCTTGAAAAATATTTCAGATCAAAACACCATCAATTTAAGTCACAACCCCATTGATTGTTCATGCTCTAACATTGACTTTTTATACTGGTATAAGAAACACATCAACTTGTTTCTGGACAAGGAAAACACAGTGTGTGGTTCTCCACCTTCATTAGTGGGCACAGAGTTGTATAAAGTGTCTATTTCTTGTGGAACTTTTTTGTTGAAGGTCATATTGTGCATAATTTTTGCAGTGATAACCATTATCTTAATTATATGCTTTATAAGATTATACAAGAAAAGATTTTATTTATCCATATAGTTATCCAATTAACCAATTCAATACCGGGCAATTTTACACCTTCCTGCCCAGGCCATTTTTCAGGTTTCAGCGCTCTCACACTTTGAATGACAATTGCGCAGTCATACAACATTGTACCCAAACTAAAATTTTATCATTTTCTTCACACAACTAGAGCTTTCTTTTGGTGGTATTTAATCACCGCTGCGGTTTTTATTTTTTGCTAAATTAACAAAAAAGACCGAACATTTTGAAAAAAAATTTTTTTGTTTCTGTTATAAAAGTTTGCAAATAAATAATTGTTCTTCATAAATTTAGGCCGAGATGTATTCTACTACATGTCTTTGGTGAAAATAACCCAAATTAGGATGTATTTTTTAGTTTGTAGGAAAGTTAAAGAGTTCACAAACTATGGGATATATCTCACTATTGATCAATCCTGAAGTACTGACGGCCAATCTAATTTCTTGAGGTCCAAGAATGTCAGAACAGTACAGATATCCTCCAAATGACCACTTTTTGCAGAGTAGACAGTCGGACGTACTTCATAAGAGGCATGGCGAGTTTTTTGAAGTTGTATTTTTTTGTCATAATTTTTTGGAAAATGAAAAAAAAAAAAATTATTTTCACAATTTTTTTTTTTACATACTGTCACCAGTGCAGTACAGCGTCATCATATAACTGGCATGGTGGTGATCAGGGACACTGACTGGTGACAGTATGAAAAAAAAAAAAAAAAAAAATATATATATATATATTTTTTTTTTTTTTTTTATTTTTTTATTTTTATTTATTTTTTTTTTATTTTACATTTTTTAGTAATTTTTTTTTTTTTTTAAGATTTTTTTTCATATTTCACTATGTCCAAAGTAGTAAAATGTTACCATAGTAACATTGTACTACTTTGGGGAAGTGATTAGTATTTGTTTTTTTTTTTTTTTTTACACAATTTGCTTATAGCAAAGAATTACTTTGCTATAAGCAAGCATTTACCTGAATGACATCGATTCATTCAGGGTTTTTTTTTTTTTTTCGTGCTTAGCTCTGATTTGGCCACAGCTAATCACATGATGTGCATGTGATTAGCTGTGACCATTCACAGCTAGACACTAGTATACAATGGATGGCATGAATGAAGCCATCCATTGTATACAACTGTCATGTGACCTGCTGTGATTGGTCACAGCAGGTCACATGGTACCGGCAACGGGCGCCGGTACTCAGATCTGTCATCAGCCGTGTTCGAGGTATGCGGTCGGTGACAGATTGCGCCACTGCGCGGCTCTGCAAGATAGCAAACTGCACATGTGCGGGAGGACGCCATATGGCGTCCTCCCGGAAAGCTAATACATTTTTACAGACGCCATTTGGCCATAGGCCGGGCGTCAAATGGTTAAAGGAAATATATCACTTTGCTTATTCAGGGAAATGTAACAGGTTTTCCTAGAAGCTCTACCACCACCCCCACCCACTCACTGATACTCAACTTTGTGGTGCTCCTCCACTGTTCCATAAGCCTGTATGGACTAGGTGTTTTTTCCCAGTGTCAGAACTTAAAGTGGTTCTAAAGGCTGAAGGTTTTATAACCTTCATGCATTCTATGCATGAAGGTAAAAAAGCCTTCAGTGTTCAGCTTCCTCCTCAGCCCCTCCCCCTTATACTCACCCTCGCATGATCCACCGCTGTGCACGACTGCAGAAGTTCTCCTGGATCTCTGCTTCCTCATTGGCTGAGGCAAAGCAGTGAAAGCCATTGGCTTCTGCTGCTGTCAATCGCAGCCAGTGAGGAGGGAGCAAGGGGCAGGGCATAGACGAACAGAAGCAGCGCGGGAGCGAGCATGCATTAGTACCTCCAGAGCAAGCTGCTTGATATGGGGGCACTCAGGAGGGGCCAGGAGCACCAGTGGGGGACCCGAGAAGAAGATCAGGGCTGCTCAGCACAAAACCATTGCACATAAGTATGACATGTTTGTTATTAAAAAAAAAAAGCTGAACCTTCACAAACACTTTAATAGAGTTACAGTACCTTCCCACTGTCTTTCATGACATTTTTAAGGCCTGGAAATTGATCACTCAAATCTGAGGAAGAAGGTAGCATGCTCCTCAATACCCAAAAACACTGGATATTGCCAAGAGTCCGACCAGTGAATAGAGCTATGGCTAGTGCTATGAAGTTGAGTGGGGATAGGGAGTGAAGGCTTTTAGGAGAACCTGTCACTTTACCCTGAATGATGAAAAATATGGGGGCTCATTGCTGGCCTACCTATGAAAATGATGTCCATCTAGCTCTGTCTGGCTCCAATATGTCTTAGTCACAGGCTAAGAAAAAGCACAGAGTAAACTAAAATCCAAGAATTGGGAACTCCTTATCGCTATACTTTATCACTGTAAAAGCCCCAACATCAGCATGACAGCCCAGCATCTAGCATTGTAAGGAGCTGCTTGCATTGGCAGCCCATGAATTTTGCTAATGACAGTTGTACTTTTAGGATTTACTATAAATCATTTTTAAAAAGTTTTTTATTCATGCCTTTCAGAAATTAAGGTATAATTAAAATTGAAACTTTGTTTTTAATTTTAGAGTTGAGAGGGATTAGAACACCTGTTGGGTTTTTATTGCTGTCTCGGTCCCTGTTAAGGAGATTCACTCGCTGTATTAGTCCTATTTAACATTATCACCAAAAATGAAATTTAAAAAATTCCAAATTGTGGGTTCTCCCAGAACAGGAAGATTGGATTTCCTCTCTTTAGAGGGATTTTCTACCACTTCCTGTATCGGCTATAGGAGGCAGGAAGTGAAGGGAAATCTCCCCAATTTGACACAGATGGAAAAAATAAATGTAGTAGGGTTATAACCCTCCCTTACTCTATCCAAAATTAAAAAAAAAGTTTTGCTTTTAGTTTTACTTTAGGTTTAATCCAAAAAGTCAGCATTTGTTTCTTTAAAAAGTTTATTTTACTGCACCATCGTTGACCTTTTGGAAGGGATTGGTTAATTACCAACAATTCCATATTAAAAGGCCACGTACCTTAATAGATGTTGCCCAAAAGAACTTGACAAGATATGCCAATGCTGGCTGTCTGTGGTTTCCACTAATCTTTCAATGTACCAAGCCATTAGATGGATATAAGTAGCATTGTTATATGTGGGGTAGGCGGAGGATAATATTGAGAGGCCTTTGTGTGGACATTCATTCTATAGCTCTGTACCTTTCGATGATGCATATCTGTTTTACCCCTCACATGGAATAACATAGGTGATCTAGCAATAGATTGTAATCCAGGCTCTTTCCATGTAAACAGTAACTTTATCTCAGTCATCTTGAAAGGTGCCAGTCTCAGAACGGTCTCTGGGGTTCATGGTGAGGACTGTATTGCATAGCGAAGCCGTATCATCTCACTGTAGTAGAGAGTATGTACAGAAAGTTGAACCTGCAAGATCTTTTTTCATCATACTACTTACATTTTGTATTGTGTTGGTACTTTTGCTTTTGTATTTTTGCAACAAATTCTAAAATTCAATAAAAAGTTGATTTTAAAGCAGAACTCCACCAAATAGAAAAAAAATGAATTAGCACATTAAAAAATAAAGAAACAAAATCAGCATTTGCTTCATTGTTCAACCTCAATCCAGGGATTTCCCATACAGTACTTTCTTTCTGTTGCTGATGTTTTCAATGAATGGTCAACATCATTTAACCCACTTCCTCTGAGCCCAGATTGTCCTGGAGCACAGCAATAAGCTCATCTTTTGGTCACTCTGTGTTCTCTTCCTATCAGCATGCTTCCTGTCAGCACATGAACAGATTGGCTTCTCTGACTCTCACACTCCAGCCCTGCAGTGCAGGGACTGTCAAAAGGTCACATTCGCATTTTTCACCGGGCCCTGGAGTTCCACCACTGTGAGGGGGCCCAGAGCCGGCATCCGCATAAGGGACACCATGCTGAATCCCAGAGTCCAGTGCCGGAAAATAGCTCTGGCACTGAGCTCCGGTTACTTGCCATACAGGAGTGCATTAGCGTGAACATCTGCCCCGCATCTCTTGCAGGGTGCCTGGGGTCCCACACTGGTGATCGTCCCCTCTGTGGCATCCACATCTCTCCCTGCCAACTGCCTGCACACAGCAGTCACTGAAGCCTCTGCCTCCTATGTTCTTTTGTATATAGACAGGAGTAGAGGAGGGACCAAGGACGACTGACTTTACACTGCAAGAGCCGCACTGATCTGACGTCTGTGTTTATGGATGTATAAAAAGGAGGGGGGCATAGTAACTTGGAAGGGGGGGGCAGGTAATAGGGATATATACCTGGAGGCGTACTAGGGGAAAGGTAAGAGGATATGTGCTGGGGGTGCTTTGGGAGGAAAAAGGACCTGTGCTTGGGAGGGCAGGGGAATTGGATTTGAAATCCCCCTTGACACCTTCTAGCACAAGTCCTCTCCCCTCCCTCTTATCACACCCCTCCCCTAAATCAAATAGATACCATTTGCCATAGAGGGGGCAATTGCAGTGTCTTGGACCCCTGGCACCCATAAGAAATGTGAGGCAAGTGCCCCGGGTGCCCACTCTGGCGTTACTGGAGCCAAGTGCCATTCATGGGACACCTGGGTTTTGCTCAAATCTTGGGAAAGTCCCACCAAAACTGGAACAGTTAGGAGCAGGAACGTACTTACCGCGGTTGCAATTGTGACCCTGCCCCCTGTACTTCTGGATAGGAGGGGGCCCCCTTTCATCCCCTGCAGTGCTGTCTGGTTTTTCCCCCTCCCCTCTCCTGCCAACTGCTGCAGGGGATGCTTTCAAGATGGAGATTGGGGAAGGGGCCAGTAAATGTGTCAATGACTTTATCCATTCATAACTGAGGCATAGTAATCTGTGTTCATTCATTACTGAGTTTACTCTGCCTCTGTTTTTGAATGAATGGGAAACTCTGTGCAGAGCCATACCTGTCCATTAATTCTGTACTGTTGAGGCTGTACAGATGGAGACTGAGGGCTGTGTCCTCAATCTCCTTTCTCTGGCTCAA